CTGGACGGGACAGGTACACAGAGCGGGACACAGCTGAGAGATGTCACCTGGACGGGACAGGTACACAGAGCGGGACACAGCTGAGAGATGTCACCTGGACGGGACAGGTACTCAGAGCGGGACACAGCTGAGAGATGTCACTTGGACGGGACAGGTACTCAGAGCGGGACACAGCTGAGAGATGTCACCTGGACGGGACAGGTACACAGAGCGGGACACAGCTGAGAGATGTCACCTGGACGGGACAGGTACACAGGGTGGGACCCAGTTGGGAGACACGCCACGTATACGGGTCCACAAGCAGGGGTGAGACAGGGAGGACAACATGGGACACACAGATGGAAAGGGATGCAACGGAACCATAATTACATCATGCATCATCTTGAAGGATGTGGTAGAACTTCAGTGGGTCGGTCACAGCAGTGACACATCCTACACCCAGCTGTGAGGGAGGCAGGCATGTGTAGGAGATACGGTCAGGTGTTAGACCAAGAATATGGCACCAAACAAGAAGATAAAGGCTCCAGTGAATTGCAACTGTAAGTGGAATGAGTACATGGCGACAGACCCAGCAGCCTCCAGTAACAAGAATATGCAGACTGGAGTGGCCAGATACTCATCATAGAGAGAAAACCTATAGCTGATAGTCATCTATGTGAACTTCACTGCAATGTAACCTTCACTGGAATATGACTGACCCACATTAGAAATTAGATGAAGACAAAAACACACCTGACTTCTGGGAGTTTCTAACAAAATCATTAAGAACTAGGGCCACTTCCTGCCCTCATGCCAACAAACAGCCCAAGGCTGGACACTGAACACCCTCCCACGAGAACTTAGCACAGCACAATCGATACAGTGAGCATGGAGTCTGTTTATGAGGAATAACAAATGCATGATTCGTAACGAGGTCACAGGGGACCCGTCCAGCTCAGCACAGCAGCCATCAGAAGCCATGCAGCATTAAAGTCTCATCTCCCCTATAGGTAAGGGCCCGTCCACCTCCGACAGCTCCCCCGACAGTCCTGACATCACGCTCCAGTGAAAATGTGAAAAGCAAAAGAAATTGACACAGACAGCAAAAGACATCTTGTGTCTGGGTGAGATACAGACCTCCAGCTGCCAGCATTAGCCGCTACCCTCTCTAGCGGTTACCGCTTCATGAGTTCAGAGTAGACTTGCTAACTTTGACATTTATGTAATAAAAAGGTAAGAATGTAGCAGCTCCCATGCTGAACCCTAAGACAAAGCTCTTCCCTCCAAAAATACAAAACCATTAATCACGACAAAAGGAAAAAAACATGCCAACTTCGGGGTTTCCCATGATAAATTTCACCAATTTGGGGGGGGGGGGCAGTCCCCACTGGCAGAATTTGCTGACAGATTGCTAGATCGCTAACAATGACAATGAGCGGAGAGGCAGGTGCCAATGACAAAAAAAAAGATTTGAAACTTTTTCGGTAGCTTACTCAGAACATCATCTCACAGTGCGTCCCAGTTTGAGAAGCACTGCTGTAAGGAAAGCAATCTCTCCGAGCAAAACTGGAGCAACTTAGGGTGAAGGTTTGTTTTTGTGGTGTTACCCCTAAGACTGGGGCCAAAGGAACTTCCAAGGGATGATCACAGCTATGCAGACACCAGCTCATTAGCCACCAGGGGGCTCTGCTGCTCCCTGCGGGGACAGGCCAGGCAGGTAATAGCTAGGATATTAGCCTAACAATTCACTTACACTGAACCAAGTTACAAACATGCCTTCCCCAGCGTTATTGTCTGTTTGCGTCTCCTTCCCCAGCGTGATTGTCTGTTTGCGTCTCCTTCCCCAGCGTTATTGTCTGTTTGCGTCTCCTTCCCCAGCGTTATTGTCTGTTTGCGTCTCCTTCCCCAGCGTTATTGTCTGTTTG